TGCCACCCAGACCTGCTGCCACCCTAGAATGCTGTCCAAACTCCTTCTGGAGGCCTGTATGAGTTGAATTCAACCTGACTTCCCAGCTTCCTCCCCACAGCCTCACTCCACGAACAAGTCTGCTTCAGCCACAAACCTGTCCATTCCTGAACGTCTCAGGTTGCCTGTCCCCATTTCCCACCAACCAATTCCTTTTGGTCTTTGAGCCTGGCTGGAACACGTCCTCCCAATCCTCTTCAAAATCTTCACCAGCTACCCTACAAGAGTCAGCAGCTCCTCCCTCTTCACATCTACTTAACTCATTCTACCTCATTTCAGGCTCCAGGGTTCCAAGTTTGCCTGTAAGACACCCCTGCTAGACCTGTGAGTGGCACGGAGCTAACTGTGCACCTTCAAGGGACCTCAAGCTGCAGGGCATCTGCTAACTTCAACCTGCTTTGCAGCCTGACGCTTCTGTACTGGGATCTGCCTCTTCCACAGATCATGCCCACACCCAAGATACTAGCGGATGGTTAAGATGCCCTGATGGCAAACGCCCAGGGGCACACCCCTTCATAACCCAGGCAGTTGTCAGACGCACAAAAGAGGGCACAGTGCCACCCAGGAAGCTGGCCCAGGGCACAGCGTGGTCCCGCCTGAGCCAAGGCAGGCTACTTCACCTGTCCCCGCGTTGCCCGGCACACACCCCATCCCTCAGGCCACCCATGCTGGGTGTCGAATCAGTCAGTCAGTCGATGGGGACTGCACAGCCTACTGGGTGCCAGCACTCCGAGAACCTGACCGTCTGTGCCCAGCGCAGCCCCCTTCAGGGGGCAGCCCCCTTCAGTGGGCAGCCCTTGCTCCCAACCTCCCTGCTGGGCTGGTTGAGACTGGCAGGTTTGGCCTAAGCTGCCTTCCAGCCCTGCTTCCTTCCTGTCCCTTGGCGGGTGTCAGTCCAGGGCGCCCCTGGCTCTGCCGTCTCCCTCTCATAGTCTGCCTGCTGCAGGACGCACTCTGAAACAGTCGGTTCCAGAGTGGTCTGAGAAAGCAGGTGCTGACGGGGGCGTTGGGCTCAGGGTGGCCCGGCACCCGCTCAGCGTAAGGGCCCCATCTCGGGGAGCAGGCAGCATGCAGACAGCTCTGGACACGGGGCGGCGGCCTGCTTGCCGGTCCTCTGCTGTTGGAACTTTGTGTGGGGACGGCCGGTTGTGCAAGGGAAGCTTCTAGCAGGAGCAGAGACCCAGGCATGGGGAGCAGATGGGAACGATAACTCTAAGGACAAAGGGGCGAGAGGCAGTGGCTCCGTCGCTGTGATGACCCCTGGGGACTAGGGCGAAGTGAGGGTGCTTAACAACTGTAAACTGAGCAGAAACACCAGAGTCTTACCGGAGCAGAGGGCCAAGCAGCCCCCACCTCAGGCAGGGGGTGAGCAGGAAAAGCTGAAGGCCAAACCCAGGGTCTGATTCAGCGGCCGAACGCCACAGGCAGCTAACCCTCAGACCAGGCAGATCTGGCTGCCAAGGCCAGAGGCCCTGCTGGGAAAACCCGCATCCCTGACCCATGGAGCAGAGAAGGCGGCCCTCTGGGAAGGGCAGAGAGCTGGGTGCATGACACCTCCCCCTCATCCCAGGGGGGACAGAGGTGGGGGCTGTCACAGTCCTCAGAGGGCGGGCCGTGGCCACATCATGCCCTGGGTGGTGACTTACAGCTTGGGGCACCTAGGCTAATACTGAATCCCCACGATGGCCCTGCAGAGACAACAGGACAATCCCCGGCGAGGTGTGTCTAAGAGGCCAATGGCCAAGGCGGGGTCCCCGGGCGTCATGCGGAGATCTCACAGCTGCACACAATGGACAGGCGCCTCCACAGGACAGTGAGCAAAGGCGTTTCCTAGAGGAAGCCGGCCCAGCAAGCCACAGCCGAAGGGAAGCCATGGGTGCAGGTCAGCTCCTGGTGCCCGGAACACTGGTCTGGAGCAAACGCAGACCCTTTCCGGAGGAGGCGCCTCATCCTATACCTAGAAGTGGAAAAGTAAAGGGAGGGGGGAGATGGTGGCCTTCTCCAAGGTTCAGTGGGAAAGCCAGGGAGAGGGAGGGGGTGGCGGGCATGCTGCAGGGGAGGGGAGGGAAGCTGGGGGCGAGCTAGCAGGGTGCAGCCTAGGCAGGGGCTCAGGGGGAACAGAGGAAAGAAGCCGACCAGACAGGGAGGGCGCGAAGGCCTGGCCCTGCCATGACTTTGCTAAAGGCAGAAGGCTTAGGAGCAGCAGGGGAGAGGTTAGAGGTTCCATCCTTCTCGGGCTTTGGTGCTGACTTGGTATTTGTAATGAAGATGGAGACTGAGATGCCTCCTGGTCCCTTCCCCGGGGCAGTCGGGTACCACCAGGCCCCTTCCTGCAACCTAGCAAAGAGATTCTTCCCAGGCCCACCCGCCCCCACAGCAGCCCACAAACCAGCCTCAGGAGCAGCCGCTGCCCTTGGACCCTGCCCCAGCCCTCTGCTGCAGGTCGCCTGAGAGCTGCTGGGAGTCAGAAGAGGGCCCTTGCCCGGCACACCGGCACACCGAGGCTTTCCCCTAGCGGCCATGACCCGGAGGACAGCTCCTTACAGGAGTTCTCCTGCTTCGGGCAGCAGGGCCTGGAGGAGCAGCCGCAGCCCGCGGTGGAGGCGACCCCTCACTCAGAACGCTGAGACGCTCCCAGAAGGTTCTGCGGGCTTGGCAGAAGGCCTTCACCAGTCGCGGGGAAGGAGCCGCAGGGGTGGGAACAGGGGCTGGGGATCCCCTTGTAGCCCAGAGGCCCACCTCCCGTGAAGAGTACACCCTCTGCCCCTCACCTGCCTCCAGCATTCCGGATTCCTCCAGTTTCCCCCAGGAGACAGCAGGTGCCTGTCACCAGACAGGAATGGTCCCACACCTACCTGCCGCTGCTGGGTCAGAAGACTTGGGCAAGGCTCCACCTCTCCACGTGGGCGCAACCTAGGCCTTGCCCCCAGGAACTCAAAAGACCCTGCGGGGGCCACAGACTCTAACAGTGGTGGACAGCCCGGCACACAAAAGCCCGGCCATGGGGAGTCCTCACAGGAGACAGAAGGGCCTAACGCTTGGGGCTGGGGCACTGAAAGTCAGCTCAGAGGCCTGTCCGCGAGGAGGACAGGCTTTGCCAGGACAGGAGGAGGTGG